AGGCTGCTTAAGATTCTCCCTCTCCCTCTGCCCCAACCCCACTCGTGCCCGCTCGCTCGCTCTCTAAAACAAAATAAAACAAAAACTTAAGCTAAAATAAAAGGCTTCAAAACTACTGGTCTAGGATAGTCAATACATATTTAGAATTCTTTTCAGCCAGTTGACTTGAACTCACCCAGTTTGTTTATTTGAAAAATTATTGACCACATTCTGTGTCGGGGTCTTCAAGACCACCCCCAGGTTCAGTGATTTCGTAGGAGAACTCATGGGACCGGCACATAGTAGGACTCAAGGTGAAGATTTCTTGCTGTGAAAGGGTATAAAGCAAAACTGGCAAAGGAAAGAGACGCCTGGGGCCAACTCAGGAGAAAAGCAGGCGGGAGATTCTGAGGGCAGAGTCACACAGGATGCCCGTGCTCGTCCAGCAAGGAACTGTGACAGCTTGGGGTGGCTACTGGGGGCCAACAAAGGGACGCCCTCCACCTGGCACATAGCAGAACTCTGGGCTGCCGGAAGGCGAGCAGGTGTTGAGCAGAAAGCGTACTGTTGGTGCCCCGCGGGGCCGCCCTCCCTGATCTGTGGCAGGAGCTACTACCGGGCAAGTCAGCCGAGGGCCAGCCTTGCAAGCAGGCCTTTCTGAGGACAACAGCGTCTGTCCCGCTCGTGGTAACTCAGCTCAGCTGTAAGTCAGGCCGGCGACTCCTACGGTCCCACGTCCACCCGCAACTCCCTCCTGACTTTCAGTCCCCTGGCCCACCTGTACTGGCTGCCACCTGTGTGTCCAAAGCACCTGGGATAAATGACCTTGTCCTTGTTCCCTCCCTGGGTCTCACTGATCGCACCTCCTCAGTGTGTCTCAGATTCCTCTGTTCTCTCCAGCCTGAGCCCCGGCCTCTCTGGGGCCTCGGGTCTCTGTTCCCCCACGTCGCGCCCAAGCCATGTTTGGAAAACACAGGTCCAGAGTGTCTTTCTCCTGCCTCAAAGCTTCTCTGGCTACTTTCCCAGTCGCTTCTGCGATACGATCCGGGCTCCCCGGCATGTGGATGAGGTTGCTGTGACCGGGCTCCACCCTGGCTCCCCCCGCCCCGTCCCTTTGCCACTTTGCCAGGTGGTCTCGGCCCCTCCCACCTCCCCTCCTGCCCGAGAGCTTCTGGAAACGCCCGGCAGTCACAGATTCCCTTTGTTGTGTTTCGGTACATTCTCTCCATGCGTCCTTTTAGCGCTGGCCGCAGCCTCTGGGAATCGTGGAACACGCCCAGGGGAAGACAGCCCATCCCAACCGTATCCTTCCCGAATGGCGAGATTCCAAAAGACTTGTGTTTTGGTTAATTTCTCTCTACGAACCGCGGGGATGTGGATGTGGGAGGCCAGACTTCCAACTTCACTCCCATTTTTGTTGCCTGGAGCACAGCCCTCTCTGCCCCCGGAGATGGCCTGGGGTGTCATGTGCCCAGGTGCACTGCTTGTCCGTTCCGTGTCTCTCTGTGACCCCTGTGACACAACCTCACGCCCCACCGCTTTTCAAACGGACATTTAGAAGAGCTGTTTACAGTGTTCGGGGGCGGGGGGCAATAATTAACGGGCACGACAGGTTCGTCTCTCATTTTCACAGGATCTGTCAGTCTGTCTGGAAGCACCAAACGCTTGGCTGCTTGGGCTGGGGCATCTGTCCTGAGCTGTGTTCACGTACCTGCCTCCCCGACTGGCTCTGGCTCCGGGGCAGCAGTGGTGCTGGGCGGTTTTGTGTCCTGAGCACTTGGTTAACACCTGGCCCCTCGGAGGCAGGCGTGGAGTTTAAAGCATGTTTTGTGAACGTACAATCAAGTCCCTGGTATGGGGATAAGAGAACGTGACTCACACATCAGCGGGGGTCACAGGTGTCACAGCCGGCTCGGAGGAGAGCTCCAGGTCCCGCGCGCACCTGAGCCATCCACGGCAGAGATGCGGACTCATGAGGGGAGAACCGCCTGGTTCCGGGCCCGGGGGCCCTGGGGTCCTTCCGGCAGACGGGCTGCCTCGCAAGTCGGCCTTGGCAAAGCCGCTTACACAGTTGGGAGGTCACCCCGATTCGCCGAGAGACCCCCTAGAGCAGAGAGCTGGGAGGACTCATGCACACAGCCCCCGGTTTTCTGCCTGGAGGCCCAGCCCCACTGTCGGCGGTGCGACCTCGCACGGGGTTGCCTCTCTGTGCCCCAGTGTCCTCTGGGAATGGGGCTGCAGGGCTGCTGCCTCGTGGGGCTCCTGTGGGATTAGTAGGACACGGAGCTGTCGACACGGGCCCAGCCCGTGGCCGCCTGGGCGTGGACGTGGGCCCCTGTGAGGGCCTCTGTCCACGTGGGTGCTGTGCCTTTGAACAGAGGCACCGCCAGCGGGGTGTCGGGGCCCCGAGGGACAAGCAGCCTCCCTGTTGCGGTCGGGTGTCTGTGAGCACTGTGCCCACAAACCCTCCCGCCAGCAGGACCCCCCCAGGGACTAAAGTCAGGAGCCGTGCCGAGGCCCCAGCGTGCGGGGTGGGGGCGGCCGCGGGGACAGGACCCTTGGGGGCAGCAGCGCCCACCGACACCGCGGGATGATCAGCCACCGGAGCTGTGGCCGCCTCTCGGGGCGGCTGCGTCCGTGCTCGTGGCTACACGGAAACCCCAAGTTTTACGGCTCGGCAATAATATCGCCGCGGACGTCACGAAACAAGTGCAGTCGTGTTGTGATACAAAATAAACACCTGCGTCGCGGAGGGACCACGTCAGCGCTGCACCGACCGCCTGTCTTCCAGCGAGCGGCCAAAATCAACTGCAAAGTTGCCTCAACAGGAACTGCTTCTGTTTGAGCCGTTCCAGGAAAAATGGGCTAACGTGGCTATTTTTAGCAACCCCCCCCCCAATGAAGTTGTAGTCTGGGGACACTTTTCTCACTTCGCGGGATCTCAGATCTCAGATGAGCACGCTGCCGTTACACCGTTCGCAGTTAACTGGCTGTTCTGTGTGCCTCGGTTTATCGTAGTACCCTCACTCCGCGTGGGGGGTGTGCTCGCTCGGAAACAGAAGGAGCCTGTTACACCCTTGTTTGTTTGCGGAAGAGCCTCGTGCGCTCTCCGCGGACTTAGACACTCGAGTGAATTGCTCTTGGTTCCAAGTGGTGTCTAGGTATTAAATGCCACTTAGCCAGTCTTATTCTGTGTGCTCTTTATAAACTGCACTCGAATACTTGCCTGGAGCTCTGGAGAGATGTCAGCCGGGACTCAGTAATGGCCCCGGCTCGAGGAGGGACCGCAGTGCGTGAGCGACGGCCCGGGAAGGCCCTGAGAGCAGGGGTGAGGAGGGGGCTGGAGCTCGGCCCTAGCGCCTCTCCGTGGGGCAGGTGGCAGGGATGTGTCCCAGGTGAGCTGGTGTGTGTCAGGAAGGAGCAGGAGACGACTTGTAGATGTAAGGGGCCATCCCGAAGCTGTGCACAACCATTTAGGCTCCGGGGAAACCGAGGCGACGGCAGTTCCCAGCGAGGTGGTGTTGTGCTGGGGAAGCCCGAAGCCTAGTCCCCGGGAGGGTTGGCAGCGTGGGGTCAGGGCATGAGCAGAGGCCCTGTGGGCACACGGAGGCCTGAAGGGAAGGCTCAGAGCGGAGCTGGGGATGAAGTGTGTTGCCCGATGCCAGGCGGGATCCCCAAGCAGCCCCGAGAGTGCGGGAGAGCTCGCGTGCAGCACGTGGTTGTGCACACGGTGGAGGCCGGGGGATGGTTGGGAGGCGAGAGGCGGCTGAGTAGAAGCAAACGGTGTCCCTGGGGGCTGGGGGAAAACCAGGCTGCCTCAGGGCCATGGGATCAGAGGGAGGCCGAGAGATCAGAGGGAGGCCGTGAGCGGGGCAGGAGCATGGGTGCCTCCCCTGTGAGCGCGTGAGCCACCATGCATTCAAATTACAATACGCTTGTCAGAGTCATGATTTAATGTGAGCCTGGAATTAAAGAAGCAGGTGTCACGTGGGGGGGGGGGGGCAGAGCCATCGATGCATTTGCTCCTTTTGTACCTGGACCGTCCGAAAGGGTTAAGATTTGGCCCCGACCCGGTTCCCACGGTGGGACTGCCTGGTCCCTGGACCCCCCAGCAGGGAGGGCATAGTGGGGGGAGGGTCGTTCAGTCCCACCTGCAGGAGGTTTTGGGGGGCTCTCCGCTTTACCTTCACAAGCCCAGGTAGACGGCACTGCTTTTGGAAACATCGAGGGCAGTGTTGATGGACCGTCCCGAAGCCCCGAATGGTGAGGGGCCCTCAGGGACCAGTGTCCGTCCCCAGGGCCTCAGGGCCGAGCCCTCCTGCCACCGGGGACCATACACTGCTCTTGTGTGCAAGCGGGTGGTTGTGTCTTCCTCATCCAGAGGCGACTGGCCGCTTTGGGGCCAGGACAAGTTGGGGGCAGGCACGTTATCGCCGTGTGCTTGAGGACAGAGGAGCCTGGGCGCAGGCCATGCTCTGCGGCATCCTGGGACTGCCCCCTCAGCACCTGGGGACCTGACTTGGATGAGGCCATGAGGCCAAGTCATCCTGGCCCAGGACAGTTCTCACTCGGGCTCAGACAAACCCAGGGCTCCTCGTGTCCAGGAAATTGTCAGGACAGACTGTGACCTCAGAGGCCACAGAAAAGAGTAGCTTCTTTTAAAAACTTTATGCAATTTTATTTTTCTATTTATTTAGTTATTTAAAGCCATCTCCACGTGGGGCTTGAACTCACGACCCCGAGATCAAGAGCCACACTGTCTCCCGACTGAGCCCTCCAGGTGCCCCTGTGCAGTCTTAAAATGCAGAGAAATGCCGGTGGAGGGGAGACAACTCAGCGGACCCCCAGCACCCTGGATTTTCACTGTCACGCTTTTGCGTCTTATTTTTTTCTTTCTGCTGTTTGCTTTTTGACGTGGGTACAGTTTTCTCCGTGCAGAGTCTCCACTCCTTGGTGTCGTTCCGGCCCGAGTTCTTTCCTCCCCGCAGAGCGGCCGGCTAAGCTTCGCGCCCTCCTGGCTTTTCAGACGTGTGCTTAGAACGCTGGTAGACAGGAGGCCGCCCCTCGCTTCCCGTCCACGCGTCTGTTCACCTCTTTCTCTGATGACGCGGCCCGTGCTGCCTCGCGCAGGCGGCGGGTGGCAGTGGGCGAGCCTGGCCTCTTCCCGACCTCGTGGGAGTGTTCTGATGTTTGCACCGTGAGCGCATCGGCAGCTGCTGTGGGAAAAGTGGCACCAAGCCACCTGACGAGCGTCACACAGACACCTGCTCTCGCAAGAGGCTGGGGAGGTGGGGGACAGCAGAGGCCGGTGTCCCCACCTGCGGCCGTCACACCGGGCTCTGCATCTGCAGAAGGGGAGCCTCGCCTGCCGGAGCCGTCCCCTCCTGATGCTTGGACGACTGTCACCTGGTCTCCTCCGGGGCCTCCCCCGGGAACCTGGGCTACAGTTTGTGGGCTCCCAGCCCCAGGAGTTGCATGAAGGTTCCGGACAGGCTGAGAGCGGACAGGCCAGTAACCAGCAGGGATAGTGGCCTTGTTTCTAGTTTACCGTCCAGAAAGAACGTGGCCGTGGGTGCCCGGGTGGCTCAGTCGGTTGAAAAGCAACCTGAGTCAGTTCAGCTGAGGTCGTGACCTCCTGTTTTGTGAGTTTGAGCCCCGCGTCGGGCTCCGTGCTGACCTGGGAGCTTTCTTGGGAGTCTCTCTCTGCCCCTCCCCGCCCCCCACACAATAAATAAACATTTTATTTATTTTTTATTTATTTATTTATTTTTTTTCAACGTTTATTCATTTTTGGGACAGAGAGAGACAGAGCATGAACGAGGGAGGGGCAGAGAGAGAGGGAGACACAGAATCAGAAACAGGCTCCAGGCTCTGAGCCAGCAGCCCAGAGCCCGACGCGGGGCTCGAACTCACGGACTGTGAGATCATGACCTGGCTGAAGTCGGACGCTTAACCGACTGCGCCACCCAGGCGCCCCAATAAACATTTTGAAAATAAAGAATAAAAGTAAAAGGGAGAAAGGACGTGTCAGTGTCCCCACCATGTTGGGACGCAGCCGTTACTAAGCCCCTGAGCTGTGCCGTCACGAGGTACACGTGGGGTTGATGTTTGCTTGGCTCCCTGGCGGACAAGGCCACGTGCATGCATTATTGTCAATGTGCTTTTAGATTTGGTTTGCGGGTGGTTCTTCTAGGAGTTTTCACCAATATCCGTTCTGTACGCTTCTTGCGCCGTCCTCGCTGGATTTTTGAGTTTTCTCTTGTATTCTCTAGAACATTCTCAATTGCGCTGGCGTCTCTTGGCAGGACCTCGCGAGACGCCTGGGGCTGGGGCTGTGGAAGGAGCCGCCTCCCCCTCTGCCTGCCAGCTTTTGTTCACATGACTTTTACGTTTTCCTGGCGGGAACGCGCTCCCGCCGGCGTCCTGTGGCCGCTTCGCGGCGGTGGCCTCTCCTGCTTTGCTTTGCTCCGTTCTGTGCGCAGGTGGCCTCCTGAGCCGTTGTGTTTCCCTCTCCCGGGTGAGGACGCCTGCCCCAGCTCGGCCCCTGCGTCCCCGGGCCGAGCCTCCAGGCCCCAGCCACGGGTGGGTGTGTTCTGGAGTGTCTCCCGCTCCGGAAGCTTCCGCCTTTTGCCGGCACCTCTCTGCCATCATCGACCAGCCCGGTCCTGGGGGGCTCACCGGCCTTGCCTCCTGCCTCCCCTCCTTGCCGTTCACCACGAGTTCTTCTTTTCCTCTGTCCCCCGAGCGGCTTCTCCTTCCTCCCGGGACCGTTCCCTCGCGGGGAGGGGGGGGGCGACGGCCCCCGTGGTGTGCAAGCGAGGCTTCTGAGCCTGGGGTCTCGGTGCCCCGGCCTCGTGTGACATCAGGTCTCGTCGACAGCGACCGTGACCCCGAGGGAGTCCTTTAGCCTTGCACGCCCCGGCCTCCCGCGTGTGAAGTAGGGGAGGGGTAGAGCTTTGCCTCTCGGTCGCCGGGCAGACCGTTAAGGCGCGGATGTGCTGAGGTCACTGCCCGAGCTTCGGTGAGGCCGCACGAGTCCTCCTTATTTCTCCTACCAGGGGCCTGCACTTTCTCTCAGAGGGTCAGACAGTAAGGATTTTCACCTCTGAGGGCCGCTCGGTTCGTGTCGCAAGTGTTTGCCGTGGTGCAGGCGGCCCTACCCAGCACGGAGACACGACGCTCGCCAGTGTCCCGATAAAGCTTTATTTACAAACAGGTCGCGCCGGCCCCTACCTAGTTCATAGTATCACCTCCTGACCCAAGCTCGCTCTATCCTGTGGCATGGGTGTTTCCGTCTGACTGGTTTGGGGGGGGGCTGGGGGCTTTATTCCCCAGGGGTGGGGAGATGTGGGGGAGGGGGTGCTAGGTCCTCGGCTCTGAGGAGTGAGTGCACGCTGGGCTCTCGCTCTGAGGCTCTGTGGGGGTCCGTGGGGGTCCCATGCCTGGGTTTACTGCAGCCAGCGGGGCACAGCCCCTCGGTCCCCCTCTGGGGGGGGGGGTCAGGGCAGGGTTAGGCGCGGACCTGGGCTCCTCGGTCCTGCTTCCTTCCCTTCCTGGTGGCGGACACGCAGGCTGGGGGGAGTTGGGCAGAGGTTGGCCATCCGATGCTGAAGGGCCGCCCCAGGCCTCCTCCACCTGTCGCCGGCCCCCCTCTGGGTTGGGAGGGGCTGTGGGTGAAGGGACTCGTGCCACACGTGAGCTGCCCCGCGTGCCAGGCGCCCACTAGTGGGAGCTGAGCCCTGTGACTCTGGTGCAGTTTTGCTCTGAGGAAACGCCGAAAGCAGTCTTAGGTTGATCCGTAGACCAAAAAGGGAGGAAAACGTAGGTCTGCCGCCGCCTTGGCAAAGAAAGCAGAGCTCCTCCTCCACTGGGATTGGGGCTTGATCAGGTTTGCAAAGTGAACAAACCCCTCGACCTGGGAATTACCCCAGGACCACAGACCAGCCCAGCCTGGCTCCGCGTGCCCTCAGGTTCCCACGGCTTTTCTCTGGGTGGAGGAAGGAAAGAAAACTACCTTTGCTTCCACTGCTCCGTTTTTAAACGTCCCCTCCATTTTTCGGCTCCTTAAAGCTCCCGATGCTCTCCCCAGAGGTAGCGTCCCGTTATTCTCTCTGGCCGCGGCGTGGGTCTGCATCATCACCTGACGTCACCCCAGGCGGGCCGGGCCCCGCCCCAGCGGCGTTTCCCGGGGAGCCCAGCGTTGGGGTGAACGTCGCTGCGGGGGGTGCAGGTTGTCAAGGGAGCCGTATCGCCTGGGGACGTGATTCCTGGTCCTTGTGGGAAATCTCTGCCCTGCATCTGAAGTCACCCTCGGGGTTAGAGGTCCGGGGGTCTCTTCCCAGGGGTCTGATGACCTTTGCCACACTTCCGTCCTGGTGGCCGCCTGGGCAAACTGTCAGAGCCAGACAGTGGCGTGAACCCTCTTGCCTCGGCTGCAGCGTGAATGCCAACACACACGTGAGCGGGCGAGGCTTTGTGCGGGGGGAGCGTCACAGACGCAGCCGAGTCTGTGGGGAGGTCCAGGTTTCTGCACCAGATGTGCCCTTTGGAGCAGGGGAGCAGGGTGAGGGTTGACTCGCCCCCCGCCATGGGCCGGGTGGCCGGGGCTGCTCGGGCCTGTTCCCATCTGCAGACTTACAGATTTCGGGCCGTTGCTCTTGTAAGTGTGTAAAGTGTGTGTCAGAACCTTGGTAGGTGGTCTGGAGCCCATCTTCTCCGGTCGTGTGGGCACCTGTGACCCTCCCACTCCCCGCCCGGAGGAACCATGATCTGCCCTCAACGGGGTGTTTCTGGAAGATTGTGCGTGAGTTTAACTTTGAAAACGGCATCTTACCGAATTCGAGAAAGAGGTCATGCAGTAGGAACCACGCGGTAGACGGCCTGGAGACTGGGACAGCGTGTGGTTTTAGTTTCTTAGTCGCGGGATCACACAGGGTCACTCGGGCCGCCCTGCCCAGCTGCCCCCAGGCCTCTCACCATGAAGTCACCCCTGCGCCAGGGCTGTCCGTCCGGTGTCCAGCTCCCCGCAACCTCGCCCGCCGTCCCTGGTGCCTGCTCACCGCCCCGCCCCCATCCAAACCTCCTGGGCTCCCGCCCGGCAACAGGGCACCTCCTTGTGCCTCCCTGGGGTCCACCCGGACTCGGCGGCCAGAGCGGTCACTCGCCGGACGTCGTCACCCCTCACCTGGCCTGTGCACCCGCACACCGCTCTCCTGTCCCCTCTGCCCCCGGGGTGGCCCTGCAGCTCCATGACCTGCGTCTGCCCTCTTGGGACACCTTCCCCAGCCACCTGTGCACGTGGTGCCCTCCCTTCCCGCAGTGGCCTCCGCCCCCGCCCCTGCCATACCGTCACCTCCTTTACCCTAAGGCCTGCTCCGTGGGGGGAGTGCTTGCTCCTGTGCTGAGGGACACGAGCGGCTGAACGGGATTGTCCCGGTGTTCTCTGTTGGAACTGAGCGCACGCCCCCCAGGATGTTGCTCCAGTGACCCAACTCTTCAGGCTGGGCCGCATTCCTCACCCGCGAGAGGGGTCAGGTGACCCAGGGGCCTCCCTCCTCATGGGAGGGGAGCTGACATGCCCTCAGCCTGGCTCAGCGTTCCTGGTGCCGGGGCTTCCCCACGTTGAACCCCCGCTGGTGAGGTCCGCACGGGTCGCCCTGGTGTCTCAGCCCCAACCACCCTCTGTCTCCCTCCAGGCTGTTCCTGGTCATAGAGTATGTCAACGGCGGGGACCTCATGTTCCACATGCAGAGACAGAGGAAGCTTCCAGAGGACCATGCCAGGTGGGTGTGGGCAGGCGGGCACAGGCCGGCAATGAGCTGGGAGGGCCCCGGGGGGGGCACAGAAAAGAGGACGTCGCTGTCCCCTGCCGAGTGTCAGACTCCAGAGTCAGCTGGCACGTCGCCCGGAGAAGTGGGTGCTTCCTAGGCGAGTATGTGCGCACGGGGACACCGCCGAGCTGTTTTGCCTTTTTCCTGTTTCCAAAATGGGGGGGGGGCACACTCCTGCTGGGAACTCACCTGAGTGGGCATCATGGCCACCGCCTCTGGTTCTGGTTCACGGATGCAGGGCGATGGCTCTCGGAGGAGAAGAACCCATTTCTATTGAAGTGACAGTGACTCTCGGGGCCATCCACCCCGCCCGCCCTCCGCACCTCAGCCCTAAGTGTGAATCTCCTCTCCACCTCCTTCCTGTTTTCCATGGTTTTCCCTGCTCCTCCTCACCTCCCTTAAATCAACTCCATGCGGGGGCGCCTGGGTGGCTCAGTCGGTTGAGCGTCCGACTTTAGCACAGGTCATGATCTCACACTCCGTGAGTTCGAGCCCCGCTTCGGCCTCTGTGCTGACAGCTCAGAGCCCGGAGCCTGCTTCAGATTCTGTGTCTCCCTCTCTCTCTGCCCCTCCCCCACTCATGCTCTGTCTGTCTCTGTCTCAGAAATAAATAAACATTTAAAAAAAAAATCAATCCCATACAGTGATTTTGGTCACCTTACATCCTTTCCGGGGAAAGGCAAGTACTAACCCAGGAATGGCTCGCTCCCCACACAGTGGCGTTTTCTTTTTTATTTATTTTTTATTTTCTTAAAGTTTATCTATTTTGAGAGAGAGCGAGAGGGCACACGTGGGGGAGGGGCAGAGAGAGAATCCCAAGCAGGCTTCGTGCTGTCAGTGCAGACATGGGGCTTGATCTCACGAACCGTGAGATCAGGACCTGAGCCGAGATCAAGAATCAGATGCTTAACCGACTGAGCCCCCCGGGCGCCCCACGTTTTCTTTGATTGTGGTAGAACAGACGTAACCCAAAATACACCATTCTCGCCATTGTAAACGCACAGCTCAGGGACATGAGGCACATCCACACAGTCATGCGGCCATCCCCACCGCCCGCCTCCAGAACTTTCCATCTTCCCCAACTGATGCTCTGCCCCTGTGAAGTGCTGGCCCCCAGCCCCTCCCCAGTCCCCCCAAGAGACCTCGAGAGTGGAATCCTAGGCATGTGTCCTCTGAGGACTGGCCGACGTCCTCAGGCTTCATTGTTACAGCAGGCTCAGGAATGTTCCCTTGTATGGAGGGACCCCGTCTTGCTTACCCGCCCGTCTGACACTGCTCCCGCCTTTGGCTACGGTGACCGGGCCCTTCGGGACGCTGCGTCGTGCGGCATTCCCGTGTTAGCTTACTGAGGACCCTCCGTGCCGTTCTCCACGGGAGCGCCCACCGGTCGTGCTCTCACAGTCCACTCCACGTCCTCACCAGGATGGCTTACTTTCCGCCCGTCTCTGAGAGTGGCCATCCTAGGGGGTGTGTGGTGGTCCCGATCTGCGCTCCCCTAACGTCTGGGACGCCGAGCGCCTCTGGCGGTCTGATTGGCCCCACGTGCTGGGTTGAGCACGAGGACCCCAGGGCGTCGGGCGTCCCCCCAGCTCCCGCTCTGTCTGGACCCGGGCGTCTCGTCCAGGCGCCTCGTTGACTTCGCTCTGCTGCCCCCAGATTCTACGCCGCCGAGATCTGCATCGCGCTCAACTTCTTACACGAGAGAGGGATCATCTACCGGGACCTGAAGCTGGACAACGTCCTCCTCGACGCGGACGGCCACATCAAGTTAACGGACTACGGCATGTGCAAGGCGAGCACCCGGCCCCCAGGGCCACCCCGCCTGCCCCCGGAATTCACAGTCAGCATAGCACCGTGGCCGTCTCAGCCCCTCAGGGTCGGAGGTGCTGACTGCCCGGTCACCGCAGCCCGAAGGGGCCCAGGCAAGGCGCCTCCTGCTCTAACCGACCCCAGACGCTTTTCTTCCTTCCTGGTAACTGACTGTGTCCCCGCAGGAAGGCCTGGGCCCTGGCGACACCACCAGCACGTTCTGCGGGACCCCGAATTACATCGCCCCGGAGATCCTGCGGGGAGAGGAGTACGGTGAGCGGGGCTGCGGGACGGGGCTGCTCACAGGCACACAGCAGGCGGGTGTGGACGAGCACAGCCCCCCACCCCTGTAAGGGACCCCTGACCCCTCGGGGATGCGGGCGCGACGCAGAAGGTCAGGTTGACCTGCTGGGGCTGACGCTGCCGGGGGACCTAACCACGGACCCCGCAGCCGGGGAGAGCGGTTTTATTGACCAAATTACACCTAAAACACACAGCCCTCACTTTGTTCCCTCCTGTCACCCGCTGGCCTCCGCCCTATGTGAACCTGTGTGGCTCCCACGTGTCCCGGGTGTCCATTCAAGCGTCCCCTGGTGGAGGACACTGCGTGGGGTTCCTTTTGTCGAGGAGCCCTAAGGGGTTGGGAAGGAGGAAAAGCCACACGAAGCCACGAGCCCCCAGGCCTGGAGCCCCAGTTGGTGTCCTGCCCCCAGTCAGTGGGAGAGACACGGCTGTAAACCGAGCCAGCAGCTGTAGGTTACCCAGAATGCCCTGCAGCCCCTGCAGACCGTGAAGAGCGTGTCTGCACCTCTCCGTTCTCTGGGTTTGAAATGAAAACGAGATTACAGTGTGTGCGCGTGCCTGTGTTCGTGTGTGTGCCCCGGATACGTGTGTGTGTGTGTGTGTGTGCTCACATGTGTGATGCAGCTTTGTACATGTGTGCACACCCCACACCCTTGTGTCCTAGTGTTTGCAGTGGAGCACATCACAAACGTGTCATCAAGTGTTTTTAAACGTTTCTTTGCCGGAAATGAGGGCTGGCTGGCTGAGTAGCCAGACAGGGAAGGACAGCCAGTAGATGGGCAGGCCAGGTTGGAGAGTCTAGAAGCTGGCCCGGGACGGGATGGGGGCGACTGTCCCAAACAGTCTAGGGGCTGAGGGCACGACTGAAGCCAGGCTCTCCCACTCCCGCTGCCCTGTGCAATAGAATTGTTAACCCTGTCAGATTAACTGAAACAGTGAATATAGAAAGATGTGAAAAACGGGGTTTTGTTTTTTTTTCAAGTTTATTATTTTTTTAAGAGAGAGGGAGAGAGAGAGAATCCCAAGCAGGCTCCCCACGGTTGGCACAGAGGCCTATGCAGGGCTTGAACTCACGAACCGTGAGATCAGGACCTGAGCTGAACTCAAGAGTTGGACGTTTAACCGACTGAGCCACCCAGGTGCCCCTGAGTTTTTGCAGGCTTAGAGAAGGGATGTTTTTTCAAGCTCAGGTGAACCGAAGGAAGACGAAAAGAACGGCTGCCCAACAGGTGTGCTCAGTTTTACGCGTCTGTGTGGTCGAAGGGGCCACAAGCAGGTTCAAAGGCCAAACGACGATCTGGAAAACCAGCAAAGTGCCGAGTATAGAGTTAATGGTCCTGATGTGAAAACAGCTTTGCAACCAGTTAAGAAAGAAAAAGACCAGGGCCCCACGATGGTGGGCAGAGGGGTCACAGCGCCGGTCAGAGACGTGCACACCGCCCCACTCGGCTGCCTCCCTCAGCGGTTGGAGCACACCCATCCTGCAGCCGTGCCCCTGCCGACCGCCCGTGTGCCGGGCCTCTGCCATCCCTCCAGGGTTCAGCGTGGATTGGTGGGCACTGGGCGTCCTGATGTTTGAGATGATGGCCGGGCGCTCCCCCTTTGACATCATCACCGACAACCCCGACATGAACACAGAGGACTACCTTTTTCAAGGTGCGTGGGCCACCGGGCGTCTCTCAAGGGTTCAGGTGCCGCCCTCAGACTGTGCGCGCGGGTCTGTCCCCACCTCACGGAGCAGGTGTTTCCTCTTTTGGGGGGCTATGGATGGAAGAGTCCCGGGCTGGCCCCTGCAGTGCTACAGAAGCCACGTCCTCATAGACTGGCTCTCAGGGAGGCAAAGGCTGGGGTGGGAAGTGAGAGCCCCACCGGGAAAGACAGCCTGCCCTCCTGTAGCCCAGACTCCTCCCTGCCCCTGCCAGGTGTGCGCCCTGGAGGCCTGGGTGGGCGGGGCCACCGTTAGGGTCCAGGCCAAGGCCATCCGGAAGTGCAGAACACCTGCCTGCGGGATGCTGATGCCCAGGAACACAGGGTCCCCACGGCGCCCTCTGGCGGTCGTGTGTGGAGGCGCCCACGTTTGTGAGCACGCTCTTGGCTCCTGTGTGGTCCTGGGCACGTGTGACTATGCGCACATGGTGGGTGTGAGGGACCTTCTGTGGGTGAGAGGCCCTGCTGCATGGAGGGAGGAGGGGCCAGGGCCCTAAGAGCGCCCTGGACACTCTTGCTCAGAAAGGGTTTGGAGCTCCCGGGTAGCTGGGCAGAGCAAACACAGTAGGGAGCGTCGGGAGGGACACAGACTCCTCACCAGGGCCCCGATCGTTGCAGTAATCCTGGAGAAACCCATCCGGATCCCCCGATTCCTCTCGGTGAAAGCCTCCCACGTCTTGAAAGGATTTTTAAACAAGGTACACTGTGGCCGCCTGGGCTGACCGGGGCCCCGCGGGCACTTGTTTCCAGGGTCAGCTGCGGGACGCCTCGGGGTGGGTGTGAATCTCTGCCTCCCTGTTTGACCTCTGTCCCGTGAATCATCAGTTTTTAGTCACACTTGCCGAAACATGAAATGCGAAATTATGCCAAAGAGAAATTTAACGAAGCCTCCGGTGTTAGGGGTAGAATTTTTAGTGAAGGGAATGTCTGCTCATCACCGGGCTGGTTAAGATTGGCTGGAGATGATTGGAGGAAGCTCTTTCTATCCTGGAGGGAAGGAAAGCTGGTTTTCTCTTGCTGTGACTTGGGGCTTCTTTGCTCAATGCTGACATGTCCTTATTTGATCTCTGACCCCTAGGACCCCAAAGAGAGGCTCGGTTGCCGGCCACAGACTGGATTTTCCGATATCAAGTCTCATGCATTCTTTCGCAGCATCGACTGGGACCTGGTAAAGCACAAAAGACCCAGTTCCCACCCCACCTCTCCCCCGAGGCAGGGATGGGGGTGAAGGGCATGGTTCCTGCCGTCGTGAGGGTCTGGGCCCCGGAAGTGATTTGGAAACTCACCTGTTCACCTATAATTGACAGGGACCCTGTGGGGCCGTGATAAGCCCCTGGGATGGTGGTCCCAGGTGGTCCTAGGAGAAGTCCTGCCTGGGAGTCCCCTAGCACACGCTATACCGCCTCGGGTCCCCTTGGGGATGTCCTTGATCTGTGACCACACCGCCTGGTCAGAAATCCAGTGGTGGGAGCCAGCCCAGCGAGGGGCATCTTCTCTGGTTTCATAGTTGGTTTTCCAGAGCTGCCTTTCTTCCCGTCCCGGGCTGCTGCTAACAGCAAAGTGTGCAAGCCCTTCCGACCTTCGTGCCGTGGTTTCTGGTGCTAAAGGGAAATTGAACCAATTTTGTTTTGACACACATAGATGGTTGCAAGTTACTGAAATATAACCTTGAAAATATGCTCCTCTGAGGAAAAGGAGATTAGCTCACTAAGTACATGTTGAACTTGAGCTTGAACTAGATCACGTGAAAGCCCCTCTCTGGGGCAGTGTCGTGCCCCCCCCCACCGGCTGCTGTAGTGGCCCCGCGGCCAGCGCCGAGGACGACCCCCAGCCCTGTGGACGGAGAAGCTCTTGTCCGCTCCACCCGGTCACTGTCACTGTCACTTTCCAGAGGACAGTCATCTGTGCCTTTGTGGGGAGAAGGGCCAACCCCATTCTCAAGACCCTGGTCGCCCGCCCTGCCACACGCTGCCCTGTCGAGGCCCTGGCTGAGCTGTTTTCAAGACAGAATCCAGCCTCCCCTTCCTTGGGGTTATTAGACAAATACTTAGAACAATATTCAGAGCACACGCACTTTTTAACTAAGAAGCTGACTTTGAGGGGCGCCTGGCCAGCTCAGTCAGTGGCGCATGCGACTCTTGATCTCAGGGTTGTGAGTTCAAGCCCCACGTTGGGCATAGAGCCTACTTAAGAAAGGAAAGCTGAAGAAAGAAAAAAGGAACTGCCTCTGATGACTCCAGCAGCAGTGGGGAGGAGATCTAGATTCTGGCTGCTCTCTATCATCCATACAGCTCGGGACACACTGGAGGAGCGAGCTGCCCCCAGGCTAGGGTTAGTGATGGCCCCTTTCTGCTTTCAGGCCTGTCCCCCCACCCAGGCACCCACAGAACCCCTGGAGGGACCGCCCATGGCCCACGTGCCAACTGGCTAAGCTATGGCAGTGCCCAGTGCCCTCGCGCCCTGCAGAGGTTCCACGAAGTGCAGCCCCAGAAACAGGAAAGGCCTCTGTGGAAACCTCGCCCACTGCCCTGGGGCTCCGGCCAGGTGTCCGGACTCGGCGAGAGCCCTTTGATGCCACATCCCCTGAAGGTGGCATCTGCTCATTCTGACCGGTGCGCCCTTGCCGAAAGCCCCCTTCCTATCTCAGTTGGCCTGGGTCTCATCTCTAGGCCTTAACGGTTTTCCCAAGATCAGAAGGGAAAGGGTCGGGGGCGTGGACATGAAGTGAGGAGGTTAGTCTTTTATGATCAGAGTCCATGTTTATAAGCCACATTCAGACCCCAGTGGGCCCGCCCTTGGCTCTACCGAGTGAGGGACGGCCTGGCTGGCAGCCGCCGTTGCTACAGGTGCACATCTGCCGGAGCAGAAGCACGTGCTTTGCGTGAAGAGGGACACGGGGTCCAGGGCCCGGAGCCCCCGCAGGGCTTGAGGGGGTGCCGTTTTCGCCGAG